TTAAAAATGTTAAAATAATTATATAATATAAATACAAATAAAATAATATTTTTTTGAAAAATTACATGTGTGTTGGTAAAAATGTATACGACATTAATTTTACAAAATCCAATCGATTGATTATTCCTGCAATTTTTTTAATTATATTTTATATTATATATTTTAATATTTAAAAAAAAACTTTAAAATACATTTTTAACCATACCTTTGGTCTAAATAGATCATAGATAGTCTATTAAAATGGGAATGAAAATTTAAGTATAGTGTAGTACTTACCAAAAAGTATTCAGGAACTAGTGGAATACCTAAAATAATTTGGGGCCCAACTAGTATAGTACCTGCGATTAGCCCTTAGTACTCGGGACCCAATTCGGATGCGCCGTTAAAAACTACACAATTGTAAGGATTCTAAGTCTAAATAAACGGTCTAAAATTATTCTGACAATTTTTTAAGTTAATTCAAAAGTGACCTGAAAAAAATACTCATTTCGAATAAAAGAAATAACAATAACTATTCTGCGAGATCCTATTGATCTATTGTAATATTTAAAATTGTAAATTCTCTGATCAGTTTTCCTGTAAAATGGTTTTCGGTCGTTATTGTACTTACTGGTTTTTTCCGTACAGCGCGACATTGCGCAACCATAGAAATGACCTAAACTTGGTCTTTTAATAAATATCTAGCAATTTTTTTATTTTTTGCTCCGATGCCATTAAAATTTAATTATATTAACACTGCSCTGTGCTACTATATACGATTTGTTTGGTTTTCTCAGGTTACTTCGTATCGTGCGCCAGTGGTTCCATATCGGTTGCACTTTCTGTGGGGCCCACGATCGTCATACCTTTCTTGCTGTTTGGAGGTTACTTTTTGAACGTTGGGTAAGTTTCGATGTACACAAAACACAGTGCATTTATATAYTATTATCACGCACGTTTATATCACAATATCGTGTATTAAAATAAAGTTATATATAAATAAATAAATATAAAAATAATTAATGATTCTATACAACACGTTTGTATCAAATATAACAGATATTATATACCTAATAACAGTAATCGTCAAGTATAATAATATATTAAAATTGTTCTATGTCAAGATCAATACCGATCTATTTCCGGTGGCTGAGCGTCTTCTCGTGGTTCAAGTATGCCAACGAAGGGTTGCAAATCAATCAGTGGACAGAYATCGACAGCATCCAGTGCAACAGAATGAAYACGACTTGTCCCCGTTCTGGTCACGCTGTCTTGGAGTCAAATAGTTTTCTAGAGGTAAAAAGACAACAACGTTATTGGTTATTATTRGTTTTTGAATTAAACGTAAACATAACGGCTGCTATACTGGAATCCAATAATACAATTATTATTACAAGAAATCTTTAGCTTCAGCCATATTTTATTGTGTACCGAGTTTGAACGTATCTAATCAATTTTTGTTTTTATTTTTTTTTTTCCAGTCAAACCTCCCCATGGACATAGTTTCATTATTTTTGTTAATCATAGTCTTTCGGTTCATGGCGTACTTGTCACTCCTAGCCAGAACGACAAGAAAATAACACAAACGCAGTAATATTTTGAACGATCCTAAAAATGCATCACTGCTRCAACATACATATTAAGTGTAAACCAACACTACAGGCTATACACTAMTTTGAATTTAGAGAAAAAATAAAATTATATACATTAATATATAATATACAGAATAAGATCGCTTAAGGTTGTACATATATTATTCTACATAAGATCTAAGATAGAAAACAATGTAATATAATTTAAATATATTTTAAACGAATAACTGCATAGTTAGCTGCCCAGCCATTACCGTGCATTCATCCATCAAAGACATCCCTAAAACGTCATTTGCATAATATATAAATTGGTACTTATAAAATTTAATTTTTTTTTAATATTTTACTATTTATATTTAAGTAGCAGAGTACTTTTGAGYGCCATAGCCAAATTGAATGGCTATTACAACTCAAAAYCTCATGTTTTTCTTATTAGATAAATAGGTACACATAAACACATTGATATACCAAAATATATATTATTTATTTACTTTAATTTTGTATATTTAAGCTCTCTCCCAATTGAAATAAAACCCGAAATGCGGTACTGGTGATTGGTGTACTAAAATAGAGTTGGTTGTATGGTATTCAATCCGACTTTAATGCTCCTGATTATTTTAAGAGTATACATTTTATGTTTGTTTAATGATTTTATTATTATTATTATTATTATTATTATTATTATTATTATTATTACTATTACTTTTATTAATACAATATATAATAAAAAATGAATAATTTATTGATTGCATTGTTGAATTATTATACAAAATGTATAACAAATGTGTATTAGTCATA